TTGGCCCCACCGCCAATGATCCGATCAACTAAAGGACAATTAACGACGCAACAAAACAATAACAATAATAAGCAAGACGACATAAAATACCGTCGCAGTGCTCAAATTTTAAATAATTGAATAAAATTCCACGGTCTTAAAATTGTACAATTTTAATAAGTAAATAATTTTAATAGTTATATTGAATTTACAAATGCAGTAAAATCAGGAACGCGTTGTACTTTGGTGTCACAGATATTACAAAAAAATTTGATTTAAGGAGGGATATCGAAATTTATGTAGAAGCTTAACTTTCGCCGTTTCTTTTTTCGTGGTGGTGATTCATTAATTATATAAATCATTTGTGGGCTTTCGATTTAGAAAATATTTTACCAATTGTAACTAGATTAATAAAACTCTATGATCGTGAGGTGGTATTCATTTAAACTATCATTTTTACTGGCCCAGGTTGTGTTTAGGTACACAATTCATAAAATACCTCAGTCTTACAAGTTTTGGAGTTAAAATTTATAAAAAAAAGCTGACTATTATACATCAAATAGATATAATATAAAGGAACAGATTTAAAACGGACGTTTGGAACATGGGTTAACTATAATTATAATATTTAGACTAAGGCAGGTTCGGAGGTATAAAAAGTGAATTTTATAATATATATATATATATAAGCTTAAATAATAATTTAAACTCCCGCAAAAAAATAAAAAATATATATTATTCTTTTTTTAGTATAAAACGAATAACAGTAAGAAACGGTCTATGGAAAATCTTCGCCAAACTCTTTAAGTAAATCAGAAGCAGAACGGTTTTCACTGAACGAAAATTAAATATAACTGTAGTTCAATGGTCTAGAGTGTAATTATAACAGACAAAAAAAAAAAAAAATTAACTACCAAAACTAATTTTCCTATGATAGTTGTGCTGCCGCGCAAATACATCGCAAGAATTCGCCTTAATGAAGTGGACAATCATCAATTGTAGATTTTACTTGGTCGCATTGTGCAAACATTCTGTTGCGCAAATAAAAAAAAAAACACGTTTTCTTTTTTACCGCCGTAATTCAGTCGACCCTTGGTAATTTTCTGCATCTTTTTCTCTGCCCATTTTTGTTATGCCTCTGAATAAATTAAACTGTACGTGTGCTACGCTGTCGCACACACAATATAAAAAAATAACATAGGTACATATTTTATTATATTAAAGACTTTGGGGAATTGTAACGCGGCCGACTTAAGTTCGAAGCGGCAGAAAGGGTGAAATTATTGTTGCCGTAATGATTTTACAACGCCCAGAAGTCGGTGCAGTGTACTTTTGCCTCCGGTGAAAATTATCGCTTCGCATTTATCTCGAGCACCGCGACCAAAGTGCTCCTCGCGCTCCGCGTCGCTTTCGTTTGCCCGCTCGACCCCTTTAATAATTTTTGTCGACCGCCGACACCCGTTTTTTTTTGTCCCTGGGACACCCGTAGTTTTCGGCACCCCCTCCGACCGCACCGATTTTAACCGATCCGTCACGAATCGTCCAAAAAAATCCGATTCCGCGTTATTGTTACGACCATTGTTATAATCGCGTCCACCGGTTACTACTATTGCGTTTTATTATTACTGTTTATTTTTATTTGATTTTTTTTTGTCATATAACCCACGTGTGCGCGCGTGTTGAACTCCCATTGTTTGGCCGGACAAGCTACCCTCCTCCTCCTCCACGCCCTTTACGGTGCGACGCTTTGTGTCCCCCAGGCCACAGAAACAAAAAAAATCACAACGGCAGCATTTGGGACCGGCAGGAAAACCGAGAAACCGAAAATCCTTGTGTGTTTGTACGGTGGACGTCGGTGTCGCACACGGCCGTGAGGTGGTTGTTACAAGCAGCAGAACAGTACAATGGACCAAGAAAGCCGTTCCCAGTTTTTTTTTTTTTAATAGCTACTTTCTAGCGCACACAAATATTTTTGTCGAACGGCGGCCGACGACTACTCCGTTCAAAACGTCCCATCGCTTTTAAAAATACGTGTCATATAATGCACACTAAAGGTAAAAGAATCCAGCGGAGAACGGACAGAATCCACGGCCCGTGTGTTTGTGTATGCGATGCGACGCGCGTGTGTGCGTTCCCCTCGCACTGTCCTCTCCGTTGGCGGTGGGTTACTCGACGGGTTTGAAAATAAGCCCGACAGCGGCCGCCGCCGCTTTGGCTATTCAATAACGAACACACACACACAACCGGACGGACATATTTACATATGAAAAAAAATATCATAGTAATAATAAAATATACCCGACGACACCGTATGCGAGCTCAATGAACCTACTACACCCTCCACAATGTGAGTCCGGATGGAGTGCACTACACCAACAGCGTCTCCCCCAGTGTCGGGACGAACAAGTTTCTGGGGTCAAGACGTTTCCAAAATCGGCTCGTAGCAAACCGATTGTTTACAAACGGTGTGTCTAAATCAATTCGTCGAAACAGCCTGACGGTTGTTCACTGCCCGTCGTATCCGATTGTGACCGGACGGCGGTGGATTTTTCATTTACATTGCATCGCACCTACGCGTAAGGTAATTGCATTTTATGCAAAATTGCGACCATGTCAAAAACCGCTAACGTTAATTAGTGTAGACGTTTAAAAAATCCGCCGTAAATATCAAGGTGTACACCTTCGTACCAAAAAAAAAAAAATAAAGAACCGCCACCAGCAATCCGTGCAAACTATTGACAGTTCAGTAACGTCGTGTTTCTCCCGCGCCGTACACCGGTTTTTTTTAACGTCCAAAGCCACAAACCCGCATAAGGTAAACCAGATTAATTACGGAGAACCGTTTGCTGGAAACTTTACCGAAAACCTTTCTCATCGGGGCAAAAAAAAAAACAACACCAGCGTTAACCGCGTATTATAAAACTTTTAAAATTTGAATAACTATATCTTCGTGTTGCGGTCTTGAAACATATTAAACAAACTTTGCGCGGAGATCCCGAGGCGCCACTGCTCTGCGGTTATCGTATGGAACACACACGCACTAACCCAAAACTTTTTTGCGGCGCTGTCTAACCCTTTTGGGGTATTCAATGCGAAGCCACGACCCGAGTTTACATCGAGTCGTTACATGTAGTGGTCGCCCCAAACGTTAAAAAAGGGAAAAAACGCGATCACTCGGTGCCGTTGATGTTCTCACGGACGTCGCAGTCGACAATTGTCGAACGACTCTGTGGGCGAACAGGTGACTTGCCGTGAGGGTCGACACTCACCCCGTGGTGGTGCTGATCGCGACGGTTTTCCAAATGACCGCCATGGCCCGTTACCGTTTCGTAGGTGCACCGTACGTGCGTTTTTAGCACTTTTGCTGTGACCCCTTGGGCGGCCGCACACGATGCACACTGGAGAGGCCGCGTACATAGTAAAACAAACGCGTTTAACACCAGACACGGTGTGTATTTCGTGTGAGTGTATGGCGATGATGTAGTGAAGTCGACGCGCACACACATCCGCCGGACCGTGTCATCTACCCGACGTTCAAAATGACTACAAGTGTAAATTTTCAACGGCAACAACGAGCGGACCTCCCATACTCACCACACACGGGCGACGTTAACAGCCCAAAATAATAATTAATAGCTCGCTGTGGATAAAGCGGATACCCCTACCGAAATTAATTATAATATCGTCGCGAACCGCACCACCACCACTACGGCGGCGACGACCCAGACAAATGCCACTGTCGTAGTGGCCGTTCTGACGTTGCCTATTTATTATTGCAGACGTGTATCGCGGCGAATTCTCGACACGTACTGCACCACCGAACCTATTGTTCATACCGCGTATGTGTAACGCACAAAAATAACGCAACAGGTATCCACAATATCCGCCGCATTCTTCTACGGAACGCGCTGTGCCCCGAGAGTGGTGCATGTCTTTCGTGCGGCCACCGCGCGCTCGTTTGGTTTTAGTCGTTTTTTCTTTTTTTTCGAGTTATGGCCGAAACATGACTGTAACAATAGGACCGACATTTGGGAGCACAATGACTCAGAATCAGCTGCCGCTCGGACCGGCAACGGCGACGCGATCGACCGAGAGAGGTAAAATTACCCCAGCGGTTCGTATGAAATGCACAAACGTAAATGAATTTTTTAGCAACCCCGTGCGCGTAAAGCGTCACCAGAGGACAACGCGGTTGCACAACAAACAGGTTTCCAACGAAACGTAAACAGCGTTTCGACCATAAACTTTTCAACGGGCTCACGCGGTTCCCCACAAACGGACCGGCTGTCACATAAACAACCCAACGAATATTATTATTTTCTTGTACAAATCGCGGCCGCGTTCCGTCGTAACCAACGTACTTACAGCGGTGAAGTAGGTGACCGCCGCCGACAACGCACACACGCGGTTAACAGCACAACCGTATCATCCGCCCACGCGGACACGTGTCGTCACCGCGGCGATTGCCGGAGAAACGATTCCCGTATGCTTTTTGGTCGACCGGCGAAATTCTTGACGTGTTCGCAGTGCGCGGCGACTAACTGAACGATACGGTTTTTTTTTTTTTCCACGGCCAATAACCGTATTTCGAAAACAATCGCCGGCAGACGAGTCGCGTAGGCGTCGTGGACCCATCACGGCGTGTTGATGGTCAAATTGAAAGAAAAGAAAATATAAACACTCATCCGTCGGAACTGTAGTGTTCCCACGTCGCGTCGGGTCGTGCTCCTCGTTGGCCGCCGAACCCGTCGACTTTTGTACAAGCGCAGTATCGCTATTACTATTATTATTATTATTATTATTATTATCATTATAAACGAACGAAAAGACCGAATGAATCATAACACGTATAGAGAGTAATTTATCAGTGTTGCGGCCGGCGGCCACAGCCAGTGACTAAAGCACACTACGGTCACGGTCAATGTGCGCGAAACTGTTCCTTGCCACAGTGATATGCCGTTTTGCCTATTCGCAGACGTGTAATAATAACGCTAACAACAATCTGTACGCTACCCACTTACCTGAAACGATTCTATTAGGGGGCGATTGCACAACACCAATGTCATCACACCCTCCTAATGATGTACACCCGGCGGTGGTGTATTGTTAATTTTCGTTCCGGTTTTTGTACTGCGCTCTAAATGAAAACGTCTGTGACAGTTTTTGCGCACAAAATAAACCAAACCGACAGTCGGTCGACCGCGCGCAGCGGTGCCACAATATAACACATGTAAATCGAGTGCTCATATATATTACATAATTTCAGCACACTTGTTAATTATGATTTTAAACACAATGGACGTGTGCCATCTCCAAACCGTCTGACACGAACAGATCATGTCCGTGTACGCTGGTAACTACTGTGGTCTGGTGGGGCACGACATTTTCCAGGTCCTACAATCGGACAACGTGTCCGGAAAGTCCGTGTCGTTTATTCCGACGATTTCGGTGAGTATTGTGCGCTTCAGTTTTTCACCCCCGCGCGCGCTCGTCCGCTGCCTACGCCGGTCGGTGCCATTTCAGCGCACTTGTTAATTACGATATTAAACAATGGACGTTTGCCATTGTTTGACGGCCATGTCGTCCCGTTTGTAGAATAACACGTATAATTGCGATTGGTGGCTTGCGTACGTGTACTATTATGAGCAGTGTGTGTGTGTGTGTGTGTGTGTATGTGCACAGGCACCGCGATAACGCCGCAATGGTAAAAAACGAATAATTACCGTGTTTAAAAATTTGTCGAGTCCGTTTACGCGTCAGAGAGAACATTACATTGAAATATTGAATAGCGATAGAAAAAGAAATAATACATAAAATTAGGTCAATATGGTAATCGGCCAAGACAATATACATTGTTTGCGCATAATTATAAAAATATTTGGGCTGTAATGCGTTTCCTCCTCTGGCTGTGCAATAGTAACGCATAATAATTATTGAGTTCCTGCGCCACCGCCGTCGGTCGATTTATTCCCGTGACCTTCACACCAGGCGACCCGTACACCGCGGCGATGAACAAAAACGAACAACACCGTGTACGTAATGCGTGCGAGTATTTGTCGCGGAATACATTAAAACAATGAGCCACGATGTCATTACTGTGGTTACTACTGTTGCGATTATGACCTACCGGGTGAACCGTACGCGTCCGCCGTTTTTTAAGTCTCCCTCGTACCGAAAACAAGTCTTTCGCCCCGACCGTCCCAGTCGGCCGATTTACCGGAACGGCAGCACGCGAACTCTGCCCGCAATTCGCCATTACCTCGCGGGTCGGTTAGCAACAATAAAAAACGTACACCTACCTCAGAAGTCCTATTCGCACGTCCTTGGCGAGGGGGAGGGGGAGAACGCGTGTCCAGAAACGATCAGGTCGAAAAGAAAAACGCCGCGAATAATTACTGTTATTTGCGCGGCGGGTTTGGGATCAAAAAAATATAACGTTGCACATTTCCAGCGCTCGCGTTTCTCGGTGTTGATTTTTAATTATATTTTTTTCTCCGGTAAAACGATAAATTAAACGGGCACATGTGTCGGTTATTATCGCGCGTTTTGAGGGTTCGCATGCGGCGCGGCAACAATTTTTGACGTGTACACGCGGCAGGTGCCTAGAGAGATAGCGATCGTCGCACTGTTCTCAGCGTAGACACTGCTGTGCGACCGTTTCGGGGAAGCGAAAAACCGCACGTAACATTTACAACTACCGTTCTCGGGGGCCAATTGTCGGACGCGCATCAAGACACGGCGCTATAAATTTTAATTTAACGATTTATACACCTCCTTTCCGGCCGACAGAGTGACCGGCACCGCTGGCCGTATTATTAGCCCATTAAAAACCCGTATAAAAACACACACACACACACACACACACACACACATGTCTCTCTCTCTCTCTCTCTATCGACGGTATTTTGTGGTGGCAAAGCAAACACGAGTTGTCCACCGTCAGCTGCTCTGATACGGTCGACTCGTTCCTACCGATTTGACGATATTCCTGTTTTGGGTGTCTGTGCCGCGATTCCCTTAGGAAAACAAATACGCCATTGCTTTACAACGGGAACGCGCGATCGAAACCAATTGATCGATACAACACACGCTGGCAGCACCCCGCCGCTTTTTACTGTCTGGTCACCCTGTGCATTGTGGCGTAATGGTCTCGATGACACGACCTTTTCCGATGAAATCCGACCGTTGTTACGACAATAACAATATTGGTAATTGTGTTGTTTTCTGTAATGGCAACTACTACTACCGGTTTTCTGTACCTGCGCTTTACAAACTCTAGTAATTATTTTCCAAGTGCAATACCGGCGGCAGTCGTCAATAGGGTTAAAATACAATTACTGTCGTATGGGACTCGACTCATTAACTTGAACCATTACAGACTAATGTCCGTTTAATGTTAACAAATAGGTCATTTCAAAATAACTAGTTCTACTTATCCACACTTAAAAATAACCGTTTTGGGATCACCAAAACCGATAGTTATTGCTCGTCACAACGCAGCAGACAACTGTCAACCATGTTTACATTAATGGCGATGGTGTCGTGGAGATGATAACTGTGTAGAACGCCATTGATCGATGCTCATGACGACGATGACCTCCGTTACAAGAGAACACTTTACACGGAATGACGGACGGCGCTTTGTACGACCTGTCTGTCAATGGAATTACGGAGACCTAAGATTTCCGCCCTAACTAAATGTAAGGTATCAAAATATGGTGTTTTTGAAATAGTGGCCACCCGAAACCGAGAGTCCATAATCCAGACAAAAAAAAAAAAGGGCATTACAATAGTGTTTCGTGTATTGTGTGCTGCGTTAACAGGTCGGAAATCTATCGATTGCCGGACAGAACTCGTATCAGTCGCTCACAATGATCAACAGAAGCCTCGAGGTCTGTGACATGTTAATGGGAATGGGGCACGTCGAAAAGGGTTTCGGGAGATGTTAATCGTTTTGATCGCTAGACAATCGACCAGTCTCTCCAATATTCACACATTCAATTCATCACCGAAATTCGTTTTGGGGAACGTGTCGATCAACTTTTCAATCGGCCGACCGACGAAAAATTATCCTGTAAGTTTGTCCAAATGCCATTGTCACAACGACACGCCAACAAAGTGTCGACGGCATTTTTATGTCATATTTTAACGTAGTTTTTACGCTATACACTCGTTTTAAAATCGATCGAACAATATCAGTCGTCCGTCATAGTTTAGCTGTTGTACTCGTCTAGAAAAAGTATTATTTATAAAAAAAAAAATTGTAATAACAGAACAATTTCCAAATGTTATTACTGGAAAATAACTCTCGACGACTCATAAACCTGGACGATAAGCTCTCTGTGAAATTATACTTTGATCGTACATTGCTATTGCTTTAGTTTGCAATTAAGGATAAGATAGAAAGATGTGTATTGATTGAAAAATTCTTGGTTGGTTTTTGTTTTTAAATTTTTATTTCAAATCGTTTTTACCCCAAATATTTTTATACAACACATATAAATTTAAATAATAAATATAGAAAAAAACATCAACAGGTATTATTATTATGATTATTTTTTTTTTTTTGACTTAATTCCTCAATTGATTTTTTTTTTTAATAAAAACATAATATGTATACGAACAAACAAAAATTACACGTTTCAAAAGTGTACCTTTTATTATCATTAAATTTTTATCTATATATTTATATATATAATGTGAATTATAGTATTCGTCTAACTACACAGTTTTATTTACACATCTAGGTTCGTATTTACAACAAATTGTACAATTATTTCAATTTTTTATCAACTAAATGTATACAATGTATTTATATGTATATGCATAGATTATTTTTTCCCATATTTCCTTCTTTCGTTATATAACAAATAATAATAATAATAATTTCGTTTAAAAATTTATTTAGGGCTAATTGAGTGTTTTTTTTTAATTATTATTATTAATCGTCGTTATATAATATATATATATACATACAGGAATAACAACAACATAGTGGAATTTTGTCAGAAATCCTCGAGGACACAGTAAAACTAATATAAATCATTAAAAATAACAAAAAAAAAAAATGTTTTTCAAATAAAATAGAAATTATTTATAATTAAAATGAGAAAAACAACACCTAGTGACTTATTTTATAAATTCGTTACAAAATAAAAAAAAAATTTTATAAATATATATATATATATATACTTAGCGGAAAATATTTCCATTAAAAAGTTGATCATCAAATCTATCATAGTGTAATTTTTTACCCTGACACAATGTCTGTGCCAACGATAATTATGCAAGTATAATATTGTATATAAATAATTATTTTTTCCTTTGAGTGTTCTAATGTTTCCGTTACGACTAACTGCTGCCGTCGTTATTGTTATTGTCATTACGATTGTTTAACGTGGGCGGGTGCGGACCGAGTTAAAAAATGTATTATTGAGACGGCCGGCCGGGTTGATTTATTCGGATGTCGTACCGATATTACATAATTTTCAGGGTGATCGTAAAATATTTTTGAAAAAAATTATTATCAACCGGTACATGACGTCGGGTTCTCTTTTTTTCGGGGTAATTTTATTATTACTTTTTTTCTTCTTCGTCCGTCACATAAATCACGAACGAGAAATAAAAAAGAAAACACAATACAAAAAGTTACACACACACGAATCGTTTGGTACGAACCGGTTTTCAAAGAACCCCCCAAAGGTACACTGCACACGTCTCGCGGACTTGACTCGAACATTTCGTAGGAACCAAATACAAGTGCAGTGACGACAACAACAACAACAACAACAACGGCACCACAGTAGTAATAATATTAAGACAAACGGGAATTTAAGGGACGACGAAAAATCAACGAAAACCCTTTACGGGGGGGGGGGGGNACCTTTTTTGGAGGGGGGGGGGGGCAAAAATAATAAATTAAATCAAAAGACAAACGGAATGCTACGGAAATGTTTTCATAAGAGATCGTTTACACCGTACACGCGGATTTCTATTATTTTTTTTATCGAGTGACTAGTTTTATTTTACGAAAACGGGACAAACTAAAAAAATATTATTGAAAAGCCGATAAGTGTGTTTATTTTTTCCAATAAAAATAATTATGTTTTATTTATATATTTCAATAATATACCTGGATTTTTTTATGATATCCGAGGGACTGAACAAACAAATAAAAAGTAAAAATAATAACTATATACGTATCACAGTCGATGCGATAGAAGAGGTTCCGTTATCGTCGTCGTCCAGGTTCACTTGCAAAAACTATTAGTCAGCGTCGCAGAAAAACGTGTCCGTAACATTGTCCGTCCGTCCTCGTCCCGCTTGCTGCTGCTGCCGCCGTGTCACACCCTTCTCTCGTATAGTTGTCAGGTACCGCGAATAGCCGACATCGTTTGTAGTGTGTAATAAGTTTGAAGTTTTCTCGTATGAATGCGGTGTAAATATAATATAAATAAGTGCCATTGTATTACACGATTTCGTCCGTTCGTCGATATTAGCACGTTCGTGTCCAATGATGATGATGACGACGACGACGACGGTGATGGTGATGATGTTGGTGGTGACGGCGATGTTTCGCCGCCGTAATTTTAAATCGAATTTTTTCTCAATAAATGAAAAATCGCCCTCAGCGAGACGTTGTTCGAAACAGAAACAAGTACTACTACGTGCATTCCTGGTGCTGCTGCTGTTGCTGCATTTTTGCCAGGTGCCTAGAGTACTCAACGTCCCACTGGGCGAAACGTTAATGTGCCGCCAGTGACTGGTGGTTGCCGATGGGCGACAGCATAGGGGGACTATGCGAATGTGAGTGCGGTCCCATCGGTGACCCGTGCATGTGATCCTGGTGATGATAGCCCTGGTGCAATCCGTGACCCATTGGGCCGCCGCCGCCGTCCATCATACCGTCCTGGGGTCCACCGAGAGTGTTCGGCGGAGTCATGCGTTTTTCTTTCTGTCGCCGGTTGCAGAACCACACCCGGACCACTTCTTTTTCTAACTGTAGGGAATCGGCCAGCGAGGTAATCTCCTGCGCTGATGGTTTTGGCTGCTTGTGAAAGTGCTGTTCAAGCGCGCCTTTTACCGAAACTTCGATGCTAGTGCGTTTTTTACGCTTTCGTCCTTGTGCCGCGATTTTGTCGATGCTGGTCGGCGAGCCCGTCGTCGAGTCCGCTTCTTCCAACCATTTTTGCAAAAGCGGCTTGAGCTTGCACATGTTTTTGAACGACAGCTGTAACGCTTCGAACCGACATATTGTCGTCTGCGAAAACACGTTACCGTAAAGCGTTCCTAGTGCCAAACCAACGTCAGCCTGCGTGAAACCCAACTTGATACGCCTTTGTTTGAACTGCTTGGCGAACGCTTCGAGGTCATCTGACGTAGGCGCGTCCTCTTCGCCGCCCGGGGACTGCGGGTCGACTTGAGGGTACGACGGGCTGTGGTGCATTTGAACGGCAGGATGCGTGTGTCCGAGCATTCCGTTCATCACATGGTAAGCACCATGATGGCCAAGTTGAGGGGACCCTGAACCACTGCTATTATAATGACCAGAAGATACCACGGGTGGCGGAGGTCCAGAATGCCACGATTGGGCATTTCCACCGCCGCCGGTCACAGCTCGCATGTCAGGCGGAGGTTTGATATCGAGCCCTTGATGTGGATGATGAGGATGGTGTTGGTGATGGTGCATACTCATAGTGGCGGCCCATGGGTCCACCCAACTAGGCGCTGCCGACAGCGATACCGGCGACGGAGACGTAGGAACTTGATGATGGTGGTGATGGTGATGATGGTGTCCTGGAGGCATGTATTTCATTTCACCAGCCGGATGATCTTGGCCGCGCGGAGATGGTGACGGCTGCTGGTACGGGCCGCCCGGCTGATTGACTGACATGCCTCCCATGCCGTCCAAATCACCGGGCCCCGGACCGCCGCCACTGACCGGCAGGTATGTGGTGGCCATCACCCGCGCTTTCCAATCACATTCAACCGACGCGCCCCGAACACTGCGCGGGTAAATCGTTAAGTCCGTAATTGCGAACGATTTTCGTACACTGGTCTANGCGCCCCCCCCCCGCGCCCCCCCCCCCCCCGCCACTGACCGGCAGGTATGTGGTGGCCATCACCCGCGCTTTCCAATCACATTCAACCGACGCGCCCCGAACACTGCGCGGGTAAATCGTTAAGTCCGTAATTGCGAACGATTTTCGTACACTGGTCTAAAAAAAAAAAAATTATCCACCACAATGCGACGCGCACTTGATATGAATTATTAATCGACTACCTTTCGGCTGCGTTTGAATAATGTATTATGTATAACATGAATAACAGAACAGTATTATTCAACGGCGGTTAGCCTATTCAGTTCTTGTAAATATTGTTAATAATATGTTATTATAGTGAAGAAAAAAAAATCACACAAGTCACACCACGCGCGTGAACCGTTCACATAGCGACCGGTGCGCAATACGTATACGGACTGATCCAGTGGAAGTCCGTAGCGATCGTCGGACGAAGTCTTTCCCCACCGCGAACCGCAGCTCGCCAGGCGCCCGACAACGGTTGGGCGTGTACGCCACCGCCACGACGGTTGGGCCCGAGTAATCGACAACGCACCGCCCATCCGGGGCCGGGCCCCGGGTCAGCTGACGGCGGGGCGCCTCGGCAGTAAACACAGTAGCCACGGCAACGGCATGTGCCGTGCGTTTCGGTCGGCTGCCGTTGCCGTCAGGGTGCGCCACTATTGATTGTCGTCGTCGTCGTCGTCGTTGCCCGTCGTCCCGCGGCCGCGCACACGCGCCTGCCAAACCCGAACGTAAATGGATACATTATCGTGACATTATCGTACGAACACCTACAGTACCCACCTTGCCACCACCGTCCATATCCCGCCCGCTTTCGGTTAACGCTCGTCAACCAGCGGGACGCGACGTCGTCATTGCCAACGCATCATCGACGCATCTTTAAAAGATCCAATGCCAAATTGATTTTTTGTGAACAACACTATGTTAATTGTAACATATTAACAAGAATTTTTTTTTTTTTTTAATTCGTCTTAATTCAGTCAGTTACAGGATTTTAATTATATAATTGTTATGAGTAAGTGCACAATAACAATTTCAGACAGGTTTGTCAACGATGTCTAAAACGATTATTAAATAATTAAAAAAATTCCTGAAAAATCACAGATTTAAATTTATCTATTTCTGCAGAGATATTTTCAACATAATTCATTGAATATCACTCGTCAGGGTTAAATTACCATTTCTCCACTGGCCTTAATCCCAAGTGCAAACGTAAATTAATAAAAAAAAAAATAATTAAAATATATTTTATATGTGTTAAGATGAAATAACTATTATTCATTCCATTTTACGAAGAAAAAATATAATTGTATTTTTTAATTATTTATCATCGATAAAAAAAAAAATAACGAATAAAATACTAATTAAAAATATTCGATATTTAGGCCACAGCATCATACAATATGTTTTTAGTTACAATTATTTAAGTAAAATAATTCGAACAATAAAAGTAAAATTCAACTTAAGTTGTTATCATTGAAATACAAACAGATTATAAAAATTTCATGGAATTTATTTTTTATACATATTAACTAATACGGCATTCAAAATAAGTATCCATTGGACACGTTGATTTATTAAAATACAAAATCAACACTATTTTTAATTAATACGACCTTCTACAACTATTTTAGTTAAATCGCAAAAAAAAAACAATTTCGAGTCATTTATAAATATATCAATATTGATTCTTCTATAACCAGTCTGTCAACACAGATTTCTTAACGCCTCTTTCTGTCGACCGTCCAAAAATGTATGAATAACAAAACCAACCTGTATATTTTAACACATATTTTATACAACGAGCTATTAAACCAACATATTAATAAACATTACCGCGTCGATATAATTTAAATTTTTAAATGTTTTAATACGTCGACCCAAGGCTACGGTACGGTACAAGTATATAATTTATTCTTTATAATCCGAAAACCAGATGATCGAGGTGCAATATAAATAATGAGCTAAAATAATGTACTTTTTTTTTTCATCTTAAATATAAATGAATAAATATGACTGAGAAATAATTGCATTGAATCGTCCAACGTTTTTCAACAGCATGTGCACCTACATGAGTGCATTTAATGTTCCGGGTTCATTAACTCGAACCGGACGATAAAATAAATCGGCTGACAGGATTAGGCTTTTGTCATGAACGCAACGGTATAAGGTTATCAAATAATGTATACAGTAATTTTATAATCCCCTTGTCGCGGTCGACATTAGTCACTGAGGAGAAAAGGGTTTTTTGCGACTAGTTTCGTGTTGTATTTAGTCGTTGTGTTATATTATTCTATAGTGTACCTATGTGTACTTGAATAAGACAACTGTTATAAGTATCAAATGAAATTTATTTCAATGGTTTATTTCAGTTGTTAGACACTCATCGCAGAATCGTTTGAACTATTCGATTTCATAGTTTAAGGCGGTTATTACCAAAATAAAATTATAAAATTAGTTTTATGATTATACTGCAAGCGTTAGTTTATACAAATAACATTTGAATGAAGATAATAAGTCATATTTCCTAATAAAAACGCTTATATTGCAAAAAGTAAGCAATATCACAAATTTTATTGTACGAAAAGTAAGCACAAAACTCAACACATATCTGTTATATATATATATATCCGAAAAATATTCTAAATAATACAAAAATAGCCATGAAATTAAAAGATGTTTTAGGTCCTCTAAAAATGTTTTTTAGTAATTAAGTGTTACGAAAGGACTATAAAGTAAATTTAAAAGCTCAAATGAATTTTTACTCATACATACTATAAATATTTCTACTCAATTTTAATATAAAATAGACGTTATTTTTTAGTTAAATATTTCGAAAAAATTCAATAGCACAATAATAATTACGCCGATATATTACATTATATTTAGATAAAAGTTCAGTAATAATAATAATAATAGTTCCGTAAATATTATTTGAAATGTATTTTCATAGTTATAAACACATACACTCAGCGCTATCTACTAAGTAAAACAAGTCGCTCATCAAATATCTATGCAAACTGAGAGCGCCACTCCCTTTAGTTAACAGAGAAATATTTCACAAAAATATTATTATAGACAAACAGCATAAGTTTTTACATTTGAAAGCTTGTTATTTTATTTATTTAAAAAATTATATAGAAGAAAAAATATTTGAAAAATGCAGAAGAAAAATAAAACTAACAACTAAACGTTTATTAATTAAACTAAATTCAATAACTCAGGCAAACAGATGCTATTACTAAATATATTTGTTTAAATTACTTAAAATAAAAAACAGTTGTCCATTCTACTTTACTTAAAAAATAATTTTAGTTTAAATATTATCAATCATTGAACAGTATAAAAATAAAATGAAATTAATTTTATTATTTTATAGGAAAAGTATAAAATTGTCTTTAATGAAACATATAATATGGCTATAATTTCAATTATAATTCCAGTATCAAGTGCAGGGTGTGAAAGGACATATTTTTGTCTAAGTTGACTGATGACATACATGAGGAACAAAACGACAGATGAAAGACTATCAAATTGATTTATAATTAACATTGAAAAGAGAATAACAAAATCTTTGGATTTAAAAAAAGTGATTGATATATTTGTGGCCATTCATAATAATTGAATAACTGTATTAGTATAATTAAAAATAATTCTAAACAGAATAATGAACGTTAAAATAATTTTGAGGTTCATAGCTATAAAAGAGAAAAAAATGGAATGCTAGAGTAACATAATAGTAGGACCACCTTTGCAGCAAATAATTTTCGAAGGCTTTAGATTTAGTTTTGTTATTAAATATATTGACAACAAATGATTAATGACTAAATAAAATTTTTTAAAAGGGATTGGGGTGGAAAGCTATAAAGTAAAAAAGTGGGTGGCTGATGTAACGTTGTGTTAGTCAGCACTATATATAATTTGGATCCTTTAGACTTCGAAAGGATGTACAAATTATGAAAATGCGATTAAAAATAGTTACGTTCTTAATATCAATCGTTGATGAAATGTAATCATTCTACCTATTATTAGGCCGTCTAATTAGTTAGTCATCTGATTTAATAAACTAGGAAATTTCAGAAACTATTATTCTGGTAGATATTAATGAATATGCATTACTTTAGTGTACAGATACATATTTTGTCGCTAACAAATAACATCACACAGTTTCATTAAATTTGCAGAAAACTTGTCCAGAAGGTAACTTGCTAACCCTTAAGGTGATCATACACGTGAATTTAAATTTTCATTTAAAGTATAAAATATCTAAAATCATGAAATTCAGTTTATAATTATTAATCGTGTGAATTCTTAATACATTCGCCTTAAACATATAAGTAATTTAAGAAAACACAATGTACTTGCAATTCTAAACACCTAAAGCAATACCCAACATGAAGTATTGTATACAACATGTACCGTTTTATAGCATATAAACGTCGTAACACACATGCCATGGTCGTCTGCATAAGTAAGGTAATGACGGTAAATCAACCGAATTTGCTTGATTTTATTAAGAGTAAAAAATCAGAGTTTAGACGGACAGTAGCTCGTGGCTAAATTGGTCTCGTCAATTTCCGCCTCTTATTATTATTATAGTTTTATTCAGAGTACGCCACCCCGCCCAACTATTAATTTTAATGTGCATGTATCAGTGGTAACTTGAAAAGAAGTTTATTTTTATTTTTTAATAAAATACGTGTACAAGAAAGATATTACAGAAACATTTCTTAATCGTTTTTTTTAAAGACTAACATGACGTTGTAAGCAAAAGGACAAAGGAGCTACGGGGAATAGAGCGCATTTAGGAAAATCTAATACTATAGACCGAAAAATTAAAAAAAATAATTTTAAGAAAATTTATTTTTATCTTATAGTGATATAATATAAATTAATAATGTAGTATATAACATTTTCTAAGCCGACCCTAAGTAGTTGGGATTAAGGCGAAGAAAAAGAAGAAAGTATGAAATATTT